CCTTTGTTTATATAAACTTATAAAATATATACTTCAAAAAAAGTTGTGAATTAGAATAGTTTTGAAACCTAGCAATTTTTTTTTAATTTCATGTAATTAATAACAATCCCTTATAGTTAATTAAACTTGTAATGTTGTTTAAGTTGGTGTTTAGGTATTTATTTTTAGTTATTTAACTTGATATTTGAGATATTTTATTTTGATTATTTAAATTTAAATTTTATTTTTTGTGGGCTTTTATAATTTTAATTATTAGTGAATTGCATAAAATATGGATGAAAATATTATTGTATATAAATATGGGTACGGATTCGGGTTTGGGTAATTAGATACCCATGAAGGGCATTTTAATAATTTTTTACATAATCAGGTTTTTAAACGGATTCGGGTAATTATCAGATAAGTATGTATTAAGGTTCGGGCCCAAGTAATAAATTTAAAAAATATTTGGATAATTATAGAGTTCGAGTATCCCATTTACTAATCGGGTTTAGATTTGAGTACCTCAAAATTAGTGGATACCCTACCCGTTGACATCCTTAAGAGCATATTCCTTGTAATGTGCTTAATTTAAATTACATTGCAGTATTTGTTTTGTAACAAAACACTATAATATAATATTGCAATGCAATCATGTTACAACCAATTGATGTAATGTGATTGCAGTTGTATTTCAAAACCAATGCAATCAAACTGTATTGCACTATGCAATATTATTAAAGACATTTTTGCGCTTCATATTTGTTAATTTATTAACGACATTTTCCAATATTATAACTCACTTTTTTATATAGATTTCGAGAGATGTCTCCATATAACTCTTAATAACCATTCTCTATTGGATGGTGGATAGTGACTACCAATAAAATTTATATTATCTTTTAAAAGAAAAAGAAATTAAAATAAAATATATAATATAAGAAATTATATTAAGAAATAAAAATAAACTATATAAGATTATAATAAGAAATGAAAATAAAATATATGACATTAAAAATATATTTGAGAGATAATATTGTATAAAAATTAATAATAAAAAAATATAAATATATTAAATTTGTGTTTTAATAAATAAAGGTAATTGTGAAAATTGATATTACTTATAAACCAAAGGCTACAATGTTGTCTTTTTTATATTTTTAACATTATTTTACTTACATACCAAACACTGTAATATTATCTTCCTTGAAATCATATTATCGACAATCACATTACCTATAATTATATTGTATTGTAAAATATTAAACACCACTTAACTACATTAAAGTAGATTATCATTTTATTAGAGAAAATGTCATACATGAAATTATTGCCCCAAGATATCTACATTCAAGTTCTCAAGTTCACAAGTGCAGATTTGTGTTAGTAGAATTTATTATCACAGAGTGGGGTGCTCGTCTGTCCTCTTTAAAACTAAAAGTAAATTCCCAGCAATTAATTTTCATTCATAACAATTTCACTAATTAATTTCTTAGAGGGATATTACCTAACATCCCTCAAATATCTTATATCTTAATGAAATTAGGATTAAATTTTAAATTTTTGGTACAGGAACTACCAAAAATTTACCTGCTAAACTGGCAACATACTCGCCTAGACTGCTGCTTGAACGAACATGAAATTGAGGTTGAAAATACTTATAAAAGCCTTCTTCTCTACATAAAACTTATATAGCTAGGCAGCTTCTTCCTTCCTGCAAGGATTATTATGATCAACGATAATTTTTAATCTGGACAAAATTTGTGGAAGTTCCTTTAACGACAAAGTTTCCCCATTGGAAATGGGTAAATAAAAACTATTTTTCTTAATCTTAGATTGATATATAGAGCTGACCAACCAATTCACCAATAAATGTAAAAATTGATTAATTCATGGTTTCATTCCACCCCTCTCACCTACCAATAAATTTGCTTGTGATATACCAGAGTTCAGTTCAAGTTGGTTATTTTAGTTGAGTCTATAATTGGATCAAAGAAAGCAATTTAGGCAAAGATATTATTCCTGAGTTATCTAAATTTATTATTCTAGCTACTCTCTCACCATGTTAACACATTTAAGACTATATCCTTGAGATGAAACATGCCATGAGGAGATGCTGCCAGGTTCAAGTTCCAATGTTTGTTTCTCTCATGTCTTAAATCTTTTTCTTCGTGGCTGTCAATTGTGAGATCAGGATCTGGAAGGCTGGACATAGCCAGCCAGCTAGCTAGTTTCTGCTATAGGAATTCGGCATATGCATCTTCCCATAGGCTGACGAAATTAAAGTCTTTTTTTTTCTTATGGAAAACAACATTGTCACCCTACGGGGATGGAACGAGCTCCGTGGAGCCCGACCTCAGTAATGGAGATTGGCACTTAGAAACCCTGAAAAGGAAATATGCATAGCTAAAATCAACAAGTGGTCACATGCCCTGTAGTGAGCTTTTTAATGCTATATTATTTCTTACGGTGATCTTACGGGTCCATTGGCTATTGCAAGCCATGATGTCACTTGCTCTCTTTGCAAATCCCATTGCGCCTCGATTAGGACCCGACCTCCCTCTCCCTGTTATCTTTTTGCATTACCCTTTTGGCCGTTTACTACCACATTGTGCCTTGCACCCTGCATTTCATGATTGTTAATCACTTGCCGATCTTCCTCAATTGGAATATTAGGAAATTAATTTTCGTGAGTTCTGTTTGTGACTTAACGAGTTAATCTTAATTACATTAATGGCTCTTGTGGAGCATGCTTGGCCTGATTTTCACTTTGGTTTGAATCAGTTGCTGTTAATTATACAAGTTTAGGATCAAGCAATGAATTTCGTAAATAGTTTAAAACTCTAACTGTAATTTCAGCCTCCTCCCTTAACTCTTCGCTACGTACTAAAGCTATACTCGACAATCAAGTAAGGCCATTCCGCCAATATTTATCCACTGCAGACAAGACATCCCCTGTATCAATCAATTAGCTGTGCCTCATGGCAGGAAGATTGTAGAAAATGAATTGCAAACCATATTGGTCCTCTGTTATCCCATTTTTCTTATTCATCTTCTAAACTAAACGGAAATTTCACCCTCCAGGAGATTCTATGATTAATTATTAAATGAACCACAAGTCTGCAGTGTGCTTTAGATTGGGTTGGTCAAACTTTAATCATTGTGAAAATGTGTTCCTATGGAATGGAAGTTTTTTTTTTTGGTCAGAAAAATCCGGGGGGCTATGGAATGGAAGCTTACGTGAATATTGCATTTGTTTGCTAGCGAAACAAAAACTGCTCAAAGCAGAAAGAAGCCGAATTGGTGAAGCAATGTTAGCAAACCAGCATAGCTGAAAGCAACGTAATTGTTGCCTCTCACGAGGACCCTCCACGCAAGAGCTATTGTTGTGAGTTGGGCTGGCCGTCGTGGAATTGTCAAAATCTATGGCCAAATTACTAAAATTCCCTTCACCCCACGTGCACGGCAATGTGTCCCCATTGGATCCACCAAGATGCGTTGCTTTGTCTATTCTTTTGAATGAACTTTTTGGTGTAGATTTTGTCCATTTTAGAGCTAATATTTGTTCCACTGTTGGCCCCGGTGGCTTTCCCGCAATGATGCTAAACGATCTACTTAAAATACAAAGAACATCATGTCTCGGAGCTATTGTGTTCTGGACAGTTCTTATTGGATTCAACTTTCGAATGTGTGAATATGACTGCTTCATTATTGTCCATGGTTATAAACTTCATTCATTTCCACAACAAAAATAATCCGTGAGTGGCAAAACATGTTTTGAGGTTTATATTGCTTAAGGTTTTGTCATTTCTCTGGGAAAACCTTTCACTTATATTAGCTAGGCGGGTGATTGATTTAGTCCTTTGCATTGAATGAATCACAGGCTTCATATCTCCATCTCCTCTTCTGATTTGATCCATTGATGCATTCAGAAAATTTTGCAGCGCAAATTAAGTCTCGATTCAAACATTAATTGCCTAAATCCATTTCAACTTGGAACCTCGCTTTCTGGATGACCAAAAGATAAAAGTGTTAAAAGATTTTACCTTTTACACATAGTTGCCATCTCTCTGCAAGATATCAAAGGGGTCACTTTGGCTACATTCATATTTGTCGCTTCATCAAGACTTGTTGGCTTTGGAGCTTTAGTTCACATGTTCAATGTTTTTCTTTAGAAGAGTTACTCTAATAATCATTTGTTCAACTTTAAATTAGTGTTCGTCAGGAATAAACGTGGCACGTTGTGAATTACAGAAATCTATCCGCTTAATTGTCAACATATGTGAGAAGGATATTTTGCATGTCAAATCCATTGCAAGCTTACAAGCAGTGGAGCACAAAGAAAAGCTTATAATGAAACCGACATTTACGAGGGGAATATGGTCGTTATGTTTCTTGCTTGAACTCCAACATCTGAGCTTTGATAACACATAACATATAGATAGGTTTTTATCTGATACACTTTTTTAAGCACATGCTACCATCCCTGCAAAACCACCGGAAGAACTGGATGGGGAAAAAAAAGGACAACAAGAACTAGTTCTACTTTCTTTTTCCTAGCCAGATGCTTTTTCTTACCTTGGAACCACTTCGAGGAGTAGCAGCTCCTTTTGCCTGGAGAGTCATCCGCTCGTTCTGATCTTTGTCTTCTTTCTTTTTTGTTCCAAGCTTTTGCTTCTCCAGTGATTTCTTAGCTTTCTTGTCCAAGTAATAATTGCCTTCCCCCTCATCCTCGTCCTTGAGATGGGACGTGCCATGACCTTCCTCCATATTTCCATAACGATGTCCCTGATGACTTGGACCCGAAGAAGCATCAGAAGCCATAGAATCATCACTGTCAGCTTCGTGATTGATTTCTGTTTCATCAGCATGACCACCATAATTGGAAGCATAAGCATCAGCGTCACTGTGTCCATCGTCGTCGTCACCACCTTGGATGGGGGAACCAATGTACATTGTCCACCCCGATTCACTGCTGTGGCATTCTTCGGTGCCTCCAAGGATTTTGGAAGGCTCCATTCACTGTAGGCGATTGGAGAAGGAGGGAGCACTAGAGGGAAATATACCAAGAAATCAAGTAGATGACAAAAGCTTTGAGTTCTTAAATATAGGAAATTAGGGAGCTGTATTTAGACGCCTGAGAAACGTTCCTCTCCCTGTCCAAACCGGCTTTCTAGACAAGGAACAGATATACCCATCTCACTTTTTGAAAGCTACACAAAACCACACTATCTTAAATGGCTAGGATAATTTCACCACCTGGAAATCTATAGACCCATTAATTCTCTGACTTGGAATCAGCAGAAGACAGCTAGAAGCTGTCAAAGAAAGTGAAATTCATCTTACAAAAGGCATAAATACCAAAGTTTCTTGAATTTGAAAGGACAAGGGTTGTTGGTTATTAGTATTCACAATTGAAGATACAATCTTCTTTACTTCTCTGCATTCGTCATTAATAAAAAAGGGCTGCCTTAAATGCAAAGACAGATTGGCTCAGCCTACTAAAACTATGGAGAATATAAGACCTGTATTTTAAATAAGGCTAGACCAAGACCTCTTTACTACCCCATATAGCTTTTCACACCTTTCATTTCCCCTTTATCCTGTCATTAAAACTTGAGCAGGCTTTTTACAACAGATTAAAGTAATAATACCAATCGAAACCCAACTGGAGTTTGGTTTTAGATGAGACCATGTGAGAGGAACCTGTCCAAGTATCTTTCTGCTTCTGCTCTTCTGTCCTCCTCTAATTTGATAGTGCCTGTCTTCTCAGGAAGTAGGATTATGTCATTTGTTTTCATTGAAGGAATATATGGTCTTTTTCGAAATCCAGTTATTTTCTTCTAGAGTTACAAAAAGTGACGCACCACAATTTTCTACCACTGACCTTGACCATATTTTGTCATTTTACTTAACTATATCTTAGATTTAAAAGATATCCACTTTTTTCATTTTGGGTTCAAAATTTATACAATCTGTGTCCTGTAAACCTCAATAGACAAATTAAGTTGCCGACTAAACATGCTTTCATTATAAATGAATCAATTGGCTGGAAACCATGTTAGGGACTAGTCTGAATGCTACATTTTTAATTTTCGAGTACTGAATGCTGATGGGTGAAATTACAGTGATCAGACAGATATCTTCCAGAATTTACTTCTGCATTCACTGTTGAAATGACCTTTGTTTCCTTTTTTTTTTCTTTTTATTTTTATACATGTTTTGAGGTGGTCGATGGGCCTCCTTTTATCTCAAACTTCAATTGCATGTTTTCTCTCATAGCTTGGACACTTTCCTGTCTGATGATGGATTCTTCCGCTCTAAAGTTTTGGTAATGCAATTTTTGCCTCTCATTTCACATTATCTCCCAGTCTTGTCATTGTACATTTTTGACTTTTTATGTCGAGCTAGCATGCGGGCCTGTGCTGGAAACATGATGCAAAACTAACTACTACTATAACTATATCAAACTTTTGGGGTTACTGCACTTCAGTATTATCATTACTTCATTATTTTTTTATATAATTATACCCATTTGTTGGACTTTTTAAGTAAACAGCCCTCTTTCTCTCTAATAGAATCCAACCAAAAAATTTCAAAATGCTTACTGCTTTGACTAGAATAGATAATAAAAAAAATCAATTATAGAGAGAGAGAGAGACGTGTATTAATTTAGTAGGATCATTCTATGAAACCATTCTATGCTCCAAAATTTCAATAAAATGAGAAAAGCAATAGCTTGGTTTAGAGATGTAATTTAGCAGAGATAATTGAGCATACTTTGGGAGGGGTCCCCCGTTGATAAGAAGGGCGAGGACAAAGGGAAGTTAAGAAAGAGTTCAAATCCAGTGGGTTGGGGCACTCCTTGTCCCCATACTTCTAAGCATGATTTGTAGCTGTTCCCCACTTTTCAATTTCTCTCCCATGACTTATTACGTGGTATTACCAGACAGAAAAGGCCCATGCATTGTTCCTGTTGCTTGTCCTTTTGGAGGTTTACATCTTGTGCTGCTCTTCTCTTGGGCTCCACGTCGGGACTCAGGACACGGTGCTTGCTTGCTAAAGGACAACCTTTTCAAAGCTGGAGATCTGATTCCCTCTTTCTCGCTCTCTCTACTTACTTTCACGCTTTCATTTCACCCCCGCTGCTAATTTCCATATATGATATACATATCTGCATTAAAAATGTGTCATATATCACATGGGGACAATGGGATGAAAACGAACACTATGCTACTCATGAGTGAAGCCCCCATCTAATGTGTTCTTCCTTGGGTTTCTTTTACATGTTAGTACAATATTATCCTTTTTTATTTTTTTATAACGTAATATATAGAATTGTCGATTTTAGTTTGGGTATTGCGGTATACATTTAATGATTAAAACTTAGAATTTCAATTTAAAAATTATTTTGAGTTCAAATTTTAATTTTGGAAAGTTAAAATTTATAAAATAAGGAGCCTTATCTACAACTTGACGACTTTATTTATATTTATATGTAAAACTTGGGCCTTGTGATGCAGACCTTCAAATGTAAAGCAGTGCGACGTTTGTCAATTTGGTTGGTTAGCCATTAGCATCACTTTCTTCGTTTTCCCACCCAAGTTTCTTTTTAGCTTTTTCTTTTTCTTCATCCATCCTCTTCTCCCTCTTATACTCTATCTAAAAGTGTTCATAATCGTTAATCAGACTATTAAACTTCTCATTTTAAACACCTAACTCAAGCCCTGCTCTATTCATCCAATTAATTATTATTTTTATTATTAAAACTATAAAAATAATATTTTTATACGACCTTTAAACACCTCTATCTATATCTACTTTTCCATTTATAATCTCTTTATTATGCTACTACTCCCACAATTGGACCGTCTTCAAGGAAGAAGCCATCTTATTTACTACTTATTAACTATCAGTTTCATTTTGAGGCAAGTGTAGATACAATATATTATTGTTGATACATGATTGAATTGAAAGCCCTACTTCACATTTAAGAAAAAAAATCCTAGTTTTAAATTTATTCCTCTCTCAAATCTATCGTAGTATAAAAAAAATATTTTTAAAAAAGGTATATATATGGAATTAAAACTTAAGGAAAATGTAAGTTTAGCTTTTAATTAAATAAACTCTGTGCTATTTAAATACACTGTGTTTGTCAATGCAAGAGTTGGGCCTCTTACTTTGATGGAAAAAAGATATTTATGGTAAGCAGTAATTAAGTTTGGGATTGAACTTGGATAACCACTCGCATTCCTTACTATTCTTCTCATAGGAAAAATATATATAATATGTGATCAATAAAGTTATGTTTAAAATTTTCAATAAAAAAAGGGAAGAAAAGAATTTAAATTTAAATTTTTTAATAAAAGATAACTGCAATCCAATACTAAATAAAAAAATGTTACTCTAAATTAGAGCAATGAATGCTTTTTATTGATTGATTGCATAAAGTATAAATTAGCATGCAGATTGAAATGACATGAAAATGAATTGAAACTATTGCTAGTGGCAATGATATGACTTCCAATTAATTTCAACAATTAAGTGTATGGAACATCAAGAAATTAATGCCTTCCAGATCATAATGAGAAAGAAAATCAAAGATATATAGAAAGCGGAATAAGTAAAGCCAATTCAGTGGCGACGTGGCAGATGCGTGACAAGTTGAAAAATGTAGGTCTCTGTTCCTCTTGGGTAGCAATTAAAGAAGCCTGACATGAGGTGTAGATCAACTCAGAATCATTCAATTTGACTGCATCCAAAGGTTAATTGTAGGATAAGCATTATGGAATGAAATGACATTGAGTATCAGAATGAAAAAGATTTGAATAATACTGTATCTCTCACTATATCTATAATTAAAAAAAAAATTCACCTATATTTATTATAATTGCAATTTTTCTAGCATGACATTTTTTATTTCTTTTTTAAATTAACAATTTGTATATTAAGATTATCATTAGATAAGATTAAAATACTCTATAATCAAGTTTGAAGATTTAAATAGTGATATTAAGATATTTATTATTTAAATTTAATTATAAATAATAATTTATAATATTAAATTTTAATTATGTATTAATTTTTTATTTATAAATTGATTATAATTAGTGTAATGCTTATTAAAATTCGTTCAATTTTTTAACATTGATTTTAAACTTCGATTTATTTTTTATGAGTTAATTTTAATTTATTAATTCAATTTTCATTAATAAGATAAAAAATTGATTTATAATTTATTTTAATTAGTATTTAATAGGTTCACCTATTTAATAGATAGTGCTTAGATATGTGGGTGTGAGCAGTAATTTCAAAAATTTAAATCCAGTGTTTATAGGGTTTGAGGTAAATGTTGCATTTAAATGCGGTGCATCCACATGGCATGCAACTTTGTTAATTATTTATGAACAATTAATAAATATTTAATTAATTAATATTAGATATTATTATGATATTTCTTAATTGAATAATTGAAAAACATTTGAGATATGATGTAAATTTATATTTAATTTGTTTAAATTTAAATAAAGACTATTTATGTAATAATTTATTATATTTAAATTTAATTTGTTTAAATTTAAATAAGGATGGATTATATTTAAATTTAATTTGTTTAAATTTAAAAGAAATGTCCTATCTCTATATCCCTAATACGTCTATAAATAATGAACCGATGTATTGATTTTTCACACGCAACTACAAGTGAACGGTGAGTTGTTCTATAGTTAGGAAAAAATCAAAAACTCTTTTCTCTTGTTTTCTCTTCATTCTTGAAATACCACCAAGGTCAAAAGATTTTGAAATGTATGTGAAGTTTCTTGTGAAAGACTCTAGGAGCCGTTCCATAACAACTAAAGCGAAGAAATCGTTGTGTGAACAAAGGAGGATTAGTAAGATAAGGTTTTTCAATAAAAAATGAAATAAAATATTCATTTTAAAATGTAAGTCCACCTTTCAACAGTGGTATCAAAGCAGGTTTTGGCTTACTTTCATTCTTTTAATGTGTATATTTTAAAAGCATGTTTTAGTAAAGATTTTGTTTAATTTAAATTACCTGATTTATTATTTATAAATCTATAATAGATATGTTCTATTTTTTATTTGCTTTCTAATGATATATTATACATTTTTTTATTTCCTTTCAAATGATATATTATAAGTATTTTTATATATATCATAAAAAATAAAATTATCAATTTATTTTACTGAAAGAGTAGGTTTTAATCCAATGTAATCAGGTGCATTGGTCTAAAGCCATGTGGCGTCTAATGGATGGCAACAAAA